ACCCCACCATCCCTTGTGACCATCAAAGATTGTTTCTTTTTGTGTGTAAACGTTTTCATGAGTTTTTACGGCAGTGGTATCATTCAGTATTTATCCTTTTGTGATTGACTTATGTCACTCAGCTTAATGTCCTCCAGTTTCATCCATGTTATGAGATGCTTCACAGATTCATCATTGTTCTTTCTCATTGCATAGTACTCCATTGTGTTTATCCATTCATCTGTTGATGGGCATCTAGGTTGTTTCCATCTTTTTGCTATTGTGAACAATGCTGCCATGAACACAGGTCTATTCGAGTGACGACTCTTATTTCTCTAGGATATATTCCTAGGAGTAGGATTGCTGGATCGTATGGTATGTCTGTTTCTAGCTTTCTAAGGAAGCGCCATATCATTTTCCAAAACGGTTGTATCATTTTGCATTCCCACCAGCAGTGCGTAAGAGTTCCGATCTCCCTGCAGCCCCTCCAACATTCGTTATTTCCAGTGTTTTTCATTTGTGCCAGTAATGCCGGGGTGAGATGGTATGTCATTGTGGTTTTAATTTGCATTTCTCTAATGGCTAGTGATCTCGAGCATTTCCTCATGTGTGTGTTGGCCACTTGAATATCTTCTTTGGTGAAGTGTCTGTTCATTTCCTTTGCCCATTTTTTAATAGGATTGTCTTTTTGTTGTAGAGGTGTTGGATTTTCTTGTAGATTATGGGGATTAGACCTTTGTCTGACTTGTACTGTCCAAAAATTTTTTCTGAGTCTGTAGGTTCTCTTGGAACACCCTTTTTGAGGTCAGGTTTTCTCCCTGGAGCGTATTAACATTCGTTTCTTAGAATTCTGATTAGTCTGAGGCAGTGAAGAGCTATTCTCCTTCTCATTTTTGTTTATCAGCCAAACTTTATTCTCTGCAGGGTCAGAAGGGGAAACTTAAAGGGAGACTTGCCAGGCCTGTAGGCACTTGTAAAACCCAGGAGCCACAGTGTGCTCATTCTTCCTTTTGTTGTCAGCTGCTGTTGAGTTGGCCCTGACTGATGGTAACTCCATGCACAACAGAACAAAACTCCTCCTGGTCTTACACCATTCCCATCATAGGTTGGGGACTGTACCATGTTTCATTGTGATCCAAAGGATTTTCATTGGCTGATTTTCAGCAATAGATCACCAGGCCTTTCCTTTCTTTTTAGTCTGGAAGCTGCTGAAACCTGTTCAGCATAGCTGACAGACAGGTGGTGGCTGCATATGAGATGTTTGGCCAGGAATCAAACCCAGGTTTCCTGCATGGAAGGCGATAATTCTACCACTGAACCACCATTGCTTCCTAGGTTTGCCCTTTCTGTTCCTTTTTCTGGTGGCCTTGGTTTTTCATGAAGGGCCCTGGGTGGCGGAGACAGTTCGCACTGGACTGCTAACCTAAAGATAGGCAGTTCAAACCCATCCAGCGGTGCCACAGAAGAAAGGCCTGTCAATCTGCTGTAAAGCTTACAGCCAAGAAAATCCTATGGAGCAGTTCTACTGGGTAACATTTGGTGTCTCCGTAAGTCAAAATCTACTTGACGGCAACATGGTTTTGGTTTTTCACGGCCATTTTCTCTGTTCTCAGTGTGAACACGCATTGCTTAAGAACCACAGAACCCTGGGTTCTGTTTCACTAATTCCACTTCCCGTCCACCTGGTAAATGTTTTCCTCTATGGTTCTGCACTCCTCACATTATACCTGCTCTGGACAAGCATTCACTCTCAGGGTTTTAATTACCACCCATGTACTTATGGTGTAGTTAGTCATATGGGTTCTTCAATCTGACTGCGTTGGCCTGAATCCTGGCTCTACCTCCTGCTAGCGTGTGACCTTGGGCAAACTTCAGAGAGGTTAAGCTCCCTCTTGTAAAGTGGGGATAATGAAAATGTTACCTAGCTCAGGACTGTGAAGATTGAGAAGATGTTGGTAAAGTCCTTAATGCTTGGCACTTAGTACTCAAACCATTAACTATGATTTTGTTATTACTATTCTTCTTTCTCAAGAGCTTCAGACTTCATTTATTCAACTGTCTACCACCTCTGTCTAACTCAGGTTCAACTCATCCAATACTAAACTCAGCCTTCCCTTATCTCAAGCCTACTCTTCCTTTTCAGTTCTCTTTTGATTGGCACTATCCACCCACTCGGAAACCCTGGTGGCGTAGTGGTTAAGAGCTATGGCTGCTAACCAAAAGGTCGGCAGTTGGAATCCACCAGGTGCTCCTTGGAAACCCTATGGGGCAGTTCTGCTCTGTACTGTAAGGTCGCTATGAGTCGGAATTGACTTGACGGCAACAGGTTTTGGTTTTGGTTTATCCACCCAGTCACCCAAGTCAGAAACCTGACTTCTTAGATGCCTTCTCTTAGCCTCTGCTACTAAATAATCATCAAGGTCTTCCCCTTCTTTTCATTTCCATAACTTAACTCTTGTTTCAAACTGTTGTCTCTTATCTGGAGGCAAAGGAGTGAGAGAATCGGTGGTGGTGCTTAGAAATTGCAAAAGTTGGGTGAAATGGGTGGTGAAAAGGAAGTCACTTAATACATGTTTTTCCATTTTAATTTGATAGAACGTACGAAACTCTTCTTATTTAGAGTTAACAACATAACACCAGGGCTATGTATTCAAAAGTGAAAGAGATTTTATCAGGCCCCCATTCAGGCAATTTGTAACCATAATTTTCCTCAAAGATACTCCATCAGGAAATCAGTCTGTAGAATGTTCACAAATCTCAAGTGACCTAGACTTGTTTCTCTCAGTGCAACATCCCTGTGGTGGGTCCAGCTTCCAGGTAAAAAAACTGAGTGGTAGTAATATCCTCTTGTCGTCCTGTAAAATAACCTTCCTCTTCTCTGTGGACTCGGATTCTATGCTGGAATCTACAGGATGCTGACCTCTATATTCTGAGCCACCTGGTTTTGGCAAGCTACGGGTCCCCAGTTCAGAACCTTTCATCTCTGGTCTGTCCTTGATGTCAGGGCATAGTAGTAGTGGATGGATATGACTTGTTTCTAGTAACTGGGTCTGTCTCTTCCACTGTGTATATCAAGAAGGCTAAGGTCAGAACCTTTGCATCTCTCTGCCCTTTCCTTTAACTTGCAACCTTCCAACTTATTTTGACTCAAAGATATTAAAAATCTTACCCCAAGAGTTAGGTTTTCCCTTAGTTAACTAAGCATCCTAAATAAGTCTGTGTAATACTACTTCATCCCATGCTTTGGCCAATCTTGTTGGGTTTCAGTCCTGTCATAGGTATCCACATTACACATTGTAAATGAGTTCACCCCGAAATAGAACAAAGCCCCTGGAAATTCTCTAGCACCCACATTTCTTTTCTATAAGAACAGTTAATTGGGTTGAGCCTGATATGAATACCTTAAACAGGCCTCCTCCTATACCCCAAAAGGAGCTTCCTTACCAGATCACTTAATTAGAGTGTTTTTCTTGGGAAAGGGGGTGGGGGCTGGATCAACCACAGTGGCCCCTTTTGAATACATATCAGGCTTTGTCAGAAAATAACTTTAACAACCTAGGTAGTATCACCCTAGATCTTGTCTGATCTTTCATAGACAGGCTTCTTTAAAACATAGTCTATTACATATCTGCTTCTCATCCTACCATCATCTGACTTCCTCAACTGTTCCAGTGACATAGCCTTTATCAAGGTTATTAGAGACTTCCTTATTGGTAAACCAATCTCATTTATTTATGTATTGTTGTACTTTAAATGAAGTTTACATTTCAGGTTAGTCTCCCATACAAAATTTTTATACATACATTGTTATGTGATCCTAATTGCTCACCCCATTCTACAACAGCACACTCCTCCTTTCCACCCGTTTCCCCATGTCCGTTCAACCAGCTCCTAACCCTCTCTGCCTTCCCAGCTCACCTCCGGACAGAAGCTGCCCCTTTGGTCTCTTGAATCTACTTGAGCTAAGAGGCACACTCCTCACGAGTATCAGTTTATGTCCCACAGTCCAGTCCAATCCCTGTCTGAAGAGTTGGCCTTAGAAATTGTTTTAGTTCTTGGTTGATAGAGAATCCAGGGGCCATGCTT